TTCTAGCCTCAAACGTTTGAAAGACATAAATAAAAATGCAATCTCAACGCTATGAATCATCAGAAAGGTTAGTCAAAAATTATATTATGATTTCATGGCACTAGTTTTTCTAAACATGTAGCGCCTGTTTGTTTGATGTTGTCGGCCGTTAGGGAGATTCATTTAAGAAAGTTTACTAACGCGTCGTTGCAAAACATTCTGCTTCACGAAGCTCCCCTCCACAAGATCTCCTCAGTCACATCAATGTCTCAATGGTCTCTTTCTTACAGTCTTTATTGTTGCCGTTTCATTTCTGCGTATTCCTTTCACAATTATCTGAGCTTGTATGGAAGCTAGCAGAAGAAGTAAGCCTTCAATCGGCATCAAAGTGCTTCCAATCTTTTGGTCCTTCGGCCAACGGCAATAAAAGTAACGCCAAAAAATCCAGATTTTGCCCAAATCGAAACTTAACAGGAACAATATATAATTGATCTGTAATCCTGAGAAGTTTTAGTGTCGTATTGAACCCGGTCAAGCGCGATGCAAACGGATTTTTCAAGGTTTTCTTACCCTCCTCGCATCTTTTCATTTCGCGACATCCTGTCCAAAAATCAAAGTTTGGTGCATGCGCAGTAACGGGATACTGTTCCTTTAAGCTCACTTTCAAAGCTTGTAAAGTTATGATTAAGTCTTCAGCTTCCATGCTCGCAAGATTTAAATTACTTCCAGCTTAGAAAAAATGTAAGTGATCAATAATATTTGTTATGTTGGCTCTGCTGTAATGCTGCAAACAGAATGAAGTACTTGACTACAGCTCGAGCACGTTTCTATATTCAAAAGTGATCAACAAATCGGCAAATCTTAAAGTAACCTTCTTTGGTTTACATCAAGGATGGAATTTCTTAGGATACAAAGTTCTTACGTATTGCAGTATCATTTATGGATATCGAACGAGGAATACAATGTCTGTAGAAAGCTTTCCTTCTAATAAGCCACAATCGGTAGCTGATTGACAAAATTATATGCTTGTTTGTGTCAAAAGATCCCGTTGTTTTCAGTACTTAACCTGAAGCTTTTTGTCGAGTAGGCATAGGGTGCGTTCCTTTGGGATGATCCGGATCAGGATCAGTGATCCGAGATCGCTTGGATCATATATTGTAGATCAAATGAACCGATGAATCCTTGTTCAGAGTGGATTCATCGGTTCATTTGATCTACCATGATCCGAGTGATCTCAG